CTCTGAAGATGTCTTAGGTTAAAGACGAAACGTTAGTATTTCTTAAATAAATTTTTATATTATATTTTTGTCTATATGGCTCTTTTGTGTACGTTATGCTGGGCATTAATCTTTATACTACACATAATATATATTTTTTAATCGTATATGGTTGAATCATATTCACCATGGTAAAACATCATGAGCTAGATTAAACAGATTGTCCTAATATCTAACTTTACCTGCAACGCACATCTGTTTCATTGATGTTAATTTTTCAATCCACAATTCAAAGTTCGAAAAGTTTCTACTGTTATGAGGGGGGAAGCACAAAAAGTTTGCCTTCAGTCTGGAGAGGGAGTCAAAAAAGTTTTCAATCCTTATTTTGCGAATATCCGAACATTCAAACATAACGCATATTTATCGAAAACTAATGAAAATATCTACATTTTGGTGGGATTTATATTCTCATAGCCACAATATTGAGCGAAATTACATATTGCTGCCTAAACGAAGGTGTCGAAATTGTCATCGGAATACAGAATATAATCTCTAGTTGGAATATACCTGTCTGATTTTATGTGCGCGTTTTGACGCGTATATCAACCCGAAACTTATGGATATTCAAACTTAACGCAATTGGTAGAAAGCGTCCGCCAGTCCGCGTCCAGTCCGCGCCTGTCTTTTATCCACACCCTCTGAAAAGCACAACTTGTAATGTTGGTTTTCAATCAATCAATCAATCAATCAATCAATCAAAAGTTTAGGACACACAAACATCTTCACACACGAAATTCACACAGGGAATAGCATACCAATTAGGCAACATCCTCGTACGTCGCATTGCTTATATGCCCACCCACGGGGGGTCCAACTAAGAGCTGTGTTATGAATATGATAAAACATCATATTAATTAAACGTAATATGAATAAAGCATCATAACGTAATATATTTAAATTATTGCACTTACTTGTATAAATCATCAGAGCTTACATTTACAGTGAATAGCTTCAAACATTGCTTCGAACGATGATTCACAGCATAAACAACATAGTTTGCTATTGTTCAAATATGGCGAATAAATTGACACAACGAAAATATTACATGGCGTTCCTACGAAAATAACAGCAAGGAATGCTGGCGCGCGAGCGGAAAGGCGAGGGAAGAATAAATTAATAGAAGGGATGAAACACCTGTGTATTTGTAACGCTTGGTTAGTTGATATATTGATTAGATAGAAAGACATGGCTACGAATGAACGGTGACTTTGTTGTAATATGGGGGTATATGTGTGCCTTCAAATTGCGTATGTACGCCTTCATATCAATTAATATTATGATTACCTTTTTCACAGATCTCTCCTTCGTATCCCTTCTTACATAGACAGTTGAAAGGTTTAACTGGATCCCAGATCATTGTTCCACCACTGTGGCATTCATTCACTTCTCCTCTGCACAATGCCTGCAAAATAGTTCATTGTATGATCACATGCAAACATACTGGTATCTATTTTAGAGACTGACAAAGTTTAAATACGGAATACATTTTTTCTTTAAAATAGTGGATTCGTATTTGAACCAACATTTGGGTACACTACAGTAATTCCCTTTTAGTTGAATGTCAAACGCCAAAATCTCCCTATTGTTATTTGTCTGCTCTGCATGGCAGGCGATAATCTGGCACGGGAAATATGGGTAATACGCTTTGAGGTGTATATTAAACGGGTGGCATTTGGGTCAAGCAACGCGCATATAATTCAAAGCTTAAATATAGTCAAAACACGACAATTTTATGAGAACTTGTAAAAAAAATACGACCGCATGTTCAAAACAACCTCATGTCCGACTTTGAAAAAGGGCTACATAGATCTGCCAGGAATTATCAAATAATTTACCAGACCGTTTGCCCAAAACACCTTAGAGCGATCAAATTAAGGTTTCGATATATATGCGTAAGGATGTATATACTAGCTACATGGATCGATTCTGGTACTAATGGGAAGGTATACTCTTTGTCCACAAATTTTGTATAAAGTATATGTAATTGCTTACCACCTGACTTCGGTCTACATTATCTTTGATGAACGTCCAAACTCGCCTTTCTTTGCTGGAATTATTGTCAAATTTATGTTCAGTCGTATTTGTTAGCTGACAGTTGAATTCATTCCCCTCAGACTTCTCCTTGAAGTTGAACGCAACACAGAAACGATGTAGTGCGCAATTAAGGCCGCAAACCTCACACTTTGGTTCTCCCAATTGATCGATGATGTTTGTTTTTAATCTAGTCACATCTAAAAAATATTAATTTATTCATTCGCCGGTTTCATATGACGTCGTGTGTTGGTCAAGGGTCCGTGGCAAGGGTAAAGGAGGGCTGTTATGTTGTCTATATTGTTTTATATTGGCTTTTAGAACCCGTTTACACGCCCGCCGGTACTGGATGAATTTGGGAGCGGGTTGAAACTCGTCCTTTCTCGCCTGTTTCAACGCGAATTCGGGTCTCAAATTCGTCCGGTTCCGTGGTTTCAGTGTAACTAACGGAAAGCTGAAACAGACGAATTTCAGCCCAGTTCCAAATTGTCCGGTACCGTGTGAACAGGGTCTTATAATAGTCGCAGAAGTTAATAGTAACATAAGATGCGTTGACAGCCATTTTCTGTCCAGCTCTTTTGGTTGACTTAATTAATTAATTAATTACAATGATTGACTCCCACTTGAGTTAAATTATCGGCTAAAATATCACGTTATTGGAACAAAATATCTGTATTTCTTTACAAAAGTTCACAGAACTTCGTTTATTTATGTAATAGGGAACTGCTACGTAAAATTTTAAGAGCTTAGGTTGGATGCTAAAGATGTGAATCTGAATAGAGACAATGTTCACCAGCAATGCCATTTTCCTTCGACAACAGTAAAGCAGCTGATATTTTTTTTATCTTGCATTTATTTAAACACATTAATAATGTTCGCTGTATTATGCCACTGTGTACATCAATTTAAGTTTCACACAGATATAGAATAATAACTTGTCGAATGGTTTATAATGACAAAAATTGAAATCAAGAAAAGAGCGGGGAATATAATAAACGGATGCATTGGCAGAACAATTAACATTTAAAATTATCTATATTCTGCATGATACGCCTGAATAATAACATTTTAAATTTTAGCTCGTAATTGTCCATATTCCATCCTTTTGTTCATAATTATTTAAATTTAGTCTAGCTTTGTAGTATATATATTCAACGGATGTGATCTAGTTAAAACATTCCTCTGAAGAAGCCTTAACCGGAGAAACGTTTGGAAAAATTTGAAAATTTTTTATTGCCTGTAGAAGTCTTTTTTAATTTTTTTAAATAAAAAGTTATATATATATATATATATATATATATATATATATATATATATATATATATATATATATATATATATATATATATATATATATATATATATATATATATCGAAGCGAAGCACATTAAAAACCATTAACCACGTGTTTTTAATTACTATATGAGCAGGGTTTTTTCATTTTGCCAAGACCATGACATTCCACCATATTTTATTCAAATTTCGCCGCCGGCAACAAGCAATCACTCTGTTTAATCCTTACATTACAAAAATACAATATTAGACAAAAATAGAAATGCTTGTGTGATGTTACTTTGAGTATATATCCACACCGGGCGAGCTTGAAACATATGCCCGGACACGTGGGAATCGAACCTACGACCTTTGGAATACTAGCCCAATGCTCTGCCAACTGAGTAACATCACACAAGCATCTTATTCATCCGAGTACATTACCCCAAGACAGCAAATATCATGATTATTAGATTACACTGATATTGAAGGAACTAGATTCAGTTCCGAAATATCGCATACTCCAACCGACCTGACCGCGTAGCTCAGTTGGCAGAGCATTGGGTTAGTATTCCAAAGGTCGTAGGTTCGATTCACACCGTGGTCGTGCATATTTTTCAAGCTCGCCCGGCGTGGATATACACTCAGAGTAACATCACACAAGCATCTTATTCACCTGAGTAGGCTACATTACCCCAACACAGCAAATATCAAAAATGGAAATACTAAGTTCCTGTTCTATTTTTACGAAAGCAAATCTAGTCCAGTTAAATTAACACGAGAAATCGTATATAAGCCGGATGGGTTGGGACCTGTCTTTGTTGAAGAAATTTTATGTCCCATGCTATAGGCTGTTTGACAGTTCCATGAAAAAGTTTCATTAATTAACTAATGTTAAAGCGAAGAGAGTTGTTCCCCTTTACAAACTCAGAAATATCCAACCTGGTTCAAATAGCGCATGCACTTGAGAACAAAATTAATTTAGCATATAATAAAGGGTGGGGGCTATATGGGTCTCTTTCTCTGTAAATCTTTGATATGACAAACATCATTCGTTGACATGAACACCAACTAAAACACTTTATCAAAACATTAGTATAAGGCTTTTTGTTTGACAAACTTTATTTCCCTCGCAAATTTGAATTTTTCTATCAAATATTTACAATAAATTTCGGTTGAAAGTGCACTTTTGGACGGACAATCTAACGCATGCATAATAAATAGTCCGTATCCGTTAGTCCCTTTCCCTATCCTTCCTATTATCCTTTAGAATCATTAAATGACTGCATGTTACTGACTTTTGCTTAATTGCATGTGCAGCACACGATATCAGCAGGACATATTTTGTAGATATCTTGCAAGCACACATGCAATTACATGTACTAACCATGCAGAAGGAATTTATTTCTGTTTTTAAATTTCTGTCTCCGGCATGTTGCAAAGGGATAACCCGAGCTAACTTCCATTAAGCCCGTATCCCGCATGCAAATTTTGTTCGATATGGAATCCTAATCCTTTAACTTAACTGTCTTAAACTTACCAACGCTTTGCAACGGCTAAATCTTCTTTATATAGTTACCGTAGATATGTCCCGATTTTTAACTGCTGGAAATACTCTATTACCATAAAACAACGTGTTAATGAACATATAGGCATTACTAGCGGAAATCTCTTCCCTTTTCGCTATAAGATTGCCCAAAAATGCTGAGCTCAGTAGAAATTATTATAAAATCATTCATCTAGAAAGTTAGATATTCCTGTAAGCGATATATGTGCCTATTTTTGCAATAATCTGTAAATCTTTATAATATTATATACATATAGGCTACACGTAATGGTCAGCATTTCGCTATGCTTATAAGTGTCGTTTTTTCGGCTATATATATTTAAATTTTCCTGGTGAGGGGCCAATGCCGTGTCCTTTCGGCCGTTCTTTTTGTTTGCATGCTAACATGCGTACTGATAGTATCTACCTCTAAATTTGATCTATATTTTATAACACTTTATCATATGCATGAGAAAATTTCCAGTATTTTGTACTAAGTGCCAGAGTATATACAAACTTAATAATATGTATTTTCGGAGTGCTGTCTCCATTTAAATCATCTTTCACACCTACTCAACCAAGTAAATTTATGTTTGATTGTATTATTGCCTAAAGTTTTGGTCGTGTATTGCCGCTATGTCTTAAGACGAGACGAATCAATAGGTGAAGGTATTATAGATGGAAATTATGGAGTAAAAGTTTATATATACATTGATTAGACTATATTCTGTACTTTTGTAATGATTGTCAGTTATCTTTGAATTGACATTGCCCAAACTTTAGCTTCCTTGAAATTTCAAAGCACTTATTCCTGCACTTTACACAAAAATATTCCTGACTTATTACTCTCTCAGATCGAAAGACGAAAAATTCAAAATCTATAAAAGTTATTCATAGCAATCTTTGCCAATCCTTTAACAATTGGAAGTGAATCATAGAAAAGTAAAAATCTATTAGTATTTTTCGAGAGAAATTTCTTGTAAATCTAACTTCCAAATCCTTTGTGAAGATGGAAGAATTCGGTCTGCCATGAGAGAATCTGCCGTTTTTTGAACTAAGAAAGCAGACACAAGAAAAATTCATCAACCAGGGTATAAAACTGACGTTTAATTAATAAACTTGCTTTTATTGATTTGCAAAGAGGGTATTACAATATGCTTTGCTGAACATGAAATATTTTTCGAGGAATATATTTATATATTTTCAGCGAGGCATAGAAATTGTATATGCTGTTGGTATATAATTTCAAGAAGTTGCGCAGAATGCTTCAATGAAGAGGCTACAGAAAGTTTAGTCGTGAGTCGTTTTAAAATTTGAATAACGATTATATCGATCGGCTTTGAACAAGAAAAACCAATTGCAAATCCTAGGTAAACGTTCCCTCTTTTGAAATTCGAAAAGTTCAAGAGACACATACTGCACTATTTAAAAGAAATGTATAAAAAAGTTTAGTAGATCGACTTACGGGCATGTATAATATGGAACAAACGAGATTGCCCCATTGGAATCATAGTGTTAAGCTGTCCAGCTGTGAAGTTGTCCAGCATCTGAAACACCAGAAAAATCCACAAAGAAATCTTGATTATACGAAAGAATTTCATATTATAGCGAAGAATTTCTTCAACTTTCAACTGCCTGAGTTCCAAATGGGATAAATGTAATATGACCGTGCCTCATACGACGCATTCGTGAGAAATAATGCATAACGATTGGTTGGTTTAAGCAAACACAGGTGTTTGTAATGTACGTGTCATATAATACTACAAACATATTTAAAACGCATTAGTCAGCTGTTTTTAAATTAAATTACTACATCATGCCAAAACCATGACTCTCCGCTATAATTTTTAAAGTTTTCTTCGTCAATCATGCTATTTGGGCAATATGCTTTGTACTGTTATAACCTCACTCCGTAATTTTAATTTAACACTTAATGCCTAATGTATGTAATGCTTATATATTAATTGAAGCATTTTGCCGTCATTTTTGAAACGTATTATACATAAGTCAAAAACGGCGGCACGAGTTAATTTAGCATTTACTTTAGAGACTTCTAGTTCGGTGAAACATTGTTGCTTATAGTAGTATGGGAGGGAAAAACAACTCTCCTTGTACGTTTTCAGACAGCGCAGCTGTTGTTTTTTTTACCTTTTCACAAACATTGATCATGACAAAATTTGTCATGTGCTATAGAGAAATTCATTACTCTTACATAATTTGAAAAAATTTCATTTTGAGGATTCTATTCTCAACAACTAAATTCCAGTTCTATTTTTACGAAAGCAAATCTAGTCCAGTTAACATAAGAAATCGTATGCTATAAGCAGCTGGATCCATTGGGACCTGTTTTTGGTCAACAAATTTTATGTCCTATGCTATAGGGTGATTGACAGTTTCATGAAGAGTGGTAATAACGTTTCTGCATTAATTAAAGTTAAAGCGAAGAGAGTTGTTCCGCTTCAGTGCACTTTTGAAATTCACAACTTTAAACCTGACAACCTCGTTTTGAAGCTACCAACCTGACAATATTTGATCTTAGCTGTATGATCTTTAATTTGACTAGAACAGTTTGAGCAAATTGTAAGGTATGCGCGATCATAAAGTTAGTCATAACTCAGACCCTAACTTAACTCTAACCCTAGTTTCAGCACGTACTATATCTGATTCTTTTAACGTACTTTTAATTGCCTCACGCACTATGTGTTCCTTAAATGAAGTATAGTAACTACGACTTGCACGACAGAAATTGCACAGAAAAACAGTCATGCCGCTGACAATTCATTGTCTGGAACCTTGGGTTCAGCTGGGAATCTTGGCTTTTGCCTTGCTTTGCTTTGATGTTTGTATTATAAGTTATGGCTCAAATTGGAATTTTGAGATGGTTTCAAACATGCTTGCGACTCGTAACATTGCTTTCATAATAAAGTCGGTTGCCAGACGAAAGTAAGCGAATTAGTCCAGCAAATTATATTTTATTGACTAAAACTTGATATAATTCCATGCAACAAACACTTGCCTTTATTTTCCAAACGTTGTTTCAACATAAAATATGCTTAGTAACGCCAACACTGAACACAGGCTTGCGTTGTCGCGTCCTGTTAGGAGTTAGGTTAAAATGCGGAAGCGGATGCGGAAAGAAACGGAACGGATGGGGCTAAAATGCGGAACGGAACAGATATGGGGGTTAAAATGAGGAACGGAACGGATATGGGTTTTAAATTAAGTTTTAACCTTATATTTGTTCCATTCCGCATTTTAACCCCACATCCGTTCTGTTCCGCATCCGCATTTTAACCTAACCCGTCCTGTTGGCCATGGTAACGCCTTCGTAAAGTTAGTTTGTTTTTTTTTATAGCTATTTGAACTGCTAAGACTTCGTACTTATACTACCAAATTCGCGTGAAACCTGTGAACGGCTCCCTCTTCAATACTCCAATAGAAATGGCGACTACGTACTGACTATTGGACCAGGTCTATTGCCTCACATTATGTTGCGGCAGTGGCGTGCTGGCAGGGGTGGGGGGAGCTGGCAATTCTTGGGGGGCCCAAAAATGTAAAGGGGGTGCCGATCCCGCGCCGAATTTTGAAAGTGGGTGGGAAGAAACGCATTCGAAAAAATATAGTTACTTCCGCCAAGAAAAGATGTGTTTATACGCTTATAAACAGACTAAGCGCATAGGCGAGAAAGTGATATATTAAATTGCAGACTATTTTGTCTAACCGTATTTGCTAATTTGCTACCTCACGGCTCACACGAAATCGTTCATATAGAAACATGACATGATCAGTGATCACACGCAATGTCTCATTACCGGAATATTGATCAGGTTTCGAAGCGATCACGGGAATTATGCCCTTTTTTGCTGG